TTGGCTTAGCTTAGCTTAGTTTAGCTTGGCTTAGCTTAGTTTAGCATAGCTTACCTTACCTTAGCTTAACGCAGCATAGCGCAGCGCAGCATTAGCACAGCATAGCATAGCATAGCCAAGCATAGCATAGCATAGCATAGCATAGCACAGCACAGCTCAGCTCAGCTCAGCATAGCATAGCATAGCATAGCATAGCGCAGCATAGCATAACATTGCACATCATGACATTGCGTATCATAGCACAGCGCAGCATAGCACAGCATAGCATAGCATAGCACAGCACAGCATAGCATAACATAGCATAGCGCAGCACAGCACAGCATAGCATAGCATAGCGCATAACAGCACAGCATAACATTGCGTATCATAGCACAGCGCAGCATAGCTTAGCCTGCCTTAGCTTAGCTTAGCTTAGCGCAGCATTAGCACACCATAGCATAGCACAGCATAGCATAACACAGCATAGCATAGCATACCATGCAAAGCAACAGCAAAACCATAGCGAAATTGTAGATGTAGATGTAGATGTAGGTGTAGGTGTAGATGTGGATGTAGGTGTAGGTGTAGGTGTAGGTGTAGATGTAGGTGTAGATGTAGGGGTGGATGTAGATGTAGATGTGGGTCTCGCTGTTGATGTTGATGTAGATGTAGATGCAGGTGCAGATGTTAATGCAGCTGTCGGTGTAGATGTAGAGGCTGTTTTCATAGATGCTCCAACTCCTAGGTAGGGTCGCACTGGGATAATTTCATAGCGTCCGCTCAAAGGTCTCGAGTCATTCCCCAGGACCGGCTTTTCATTCTGAGTCGTTGCTTGACGATCCCGAAGCCCCATGACGGCCCCAGAGGCCGAAAATAACGCAAAACAAAACCTGCCGTCGTGCTGTTTGTTTATGACCCGAAGGGGGTCTGGGTATGGGGTGCGTATACGGGATGGCGTCTGTGGGGTACACGTGCTACCTGCCCCGTGCCTCGAGGCACGAAGTGGAGCGCCCTCGGGTCGCTCAGAGTACTACGCTTAGGTCGGGCATGTCCTCCTACAGGGGGGGTTGGGGCGAAAACATTTTCAATACTGGACCACGTACACCCAAATAGTCAAAAAATAATCAAAACTTCGTCCCCAGACTATTTGTTGATGATTTTCGAATGCTCCATCTGTAGAGAGACACGCCCGATTTAAGCCTGGGGTTTTGTGATGCGTTCCTGGCGCGGCCGGGCGCTCCTGGACGCTCTCGGGGCTTCCCCGCGCTCGTTACCCCAGAGGCGAAGAGGGCCCCCAGACAGGCCAGGCGGGCATCACGAGTCTCCCAAGAAGGGAAAGAGGGAGCAGAGTCACCCGAATATCGCTCTGAGACAGCCAAGTTGGCCTACACACTGCCAACATGGCACCCTAAGACGTCCCACGATGGCTCCCAGCGGCCCCCAATGAAAGCTCCGAGAGGCAAACATACGTGTATCTTCTGTCTGGGGCTGATGTTGGCGTTCTCGCATGCTCGGGCTTCCGACGCTCCAAGTCAGCACAAGAAACCCCTGGGGGGGGGGGGACAAAAAAAGCTCTGGTTTTTGTCATATGGTTTTTCGAAAGGGTCCGGGGCCCAACACTTAAGACAGGACTATTTCTAAAACTCCATTCTAAATTCAATGTAAAAACCAAACTCGGCTTCTTTATGGGTTTCTCGGGCGTTCGCCAGCCGGCCAGGGCTCCATGGGGAAAAGAAACTAAACGAAAAAAACGCCGGGGGTTCTGGGGCCCCACCCGTAAAAATAATGCTATGTCTGAAAGCCCCCCACAAAAAAAAACATCGACTAACCTTAGGATGTATGAAATCCAACGATGCTCTCTAGCAGCGGGATGCTGTTAAGTACTGGGTAGTGCGTTGAAAACGTAGGCTGTTGAGCACTGGGTTTTGTGTTGGAGACGGATGCTATTGAGTGATGGGTGTTGTCTGAGACAAGAAAGCACGGCGGGCGGGTGGCGGGCAGCGGGCGGGCGGCGGGCGGATCGAGATTCGACTTGAACTCCTAAGGATTCTCTCTTGCAGCGGGATGCTGTTGAATACTGGGTGTTGTGTTGGAGACGCAGGCTGTTGAATAATTACCCGGTATTGTGCTGGAGATGGACGCTGTTGAGTTCTTGGTGTCGTGTTACACGCGGAAGCACGGCGAACGGGCGGGGGGGGGCGGGCGGGCGGCGGGCGGGCGGGCGGGCGGGCGGGCGGGCGAGCGGATCGGAATCTCAACAGAACTCCCAAGGATTCTCTCTTGAAGCGGGATGCTGTTGAGTACTGGGTGTTGTATCCAAGACGGGAGCGGTTGAGTACCCAAGCGTTGTATTGGAGACGGGCGCTGTTGAGTACTGGGTCTTGTGTTGAGAGCGGAGGCACGGCGAACGGGAGAGGGGGGGCGGGCGGCGGGCGGACGGGCGACACGCGGCGGGCAGGCGGGTGGGGACTGCGATAGGACTCTTCAGGATTTTCTCTTCCAGAGGGATCCAGGGGGGAGGGCGATGGGAGCCTTGTCTCACTCTGACACCGGGAGGTGAAGCCAGATACGGGGGCGCACAAACGACGCGGCACGTGGTGCACTCGATGGGGCGCACCCTCAGAACGGCAGGGGGGATTGCGACGGGCGCCCACCGCGTGGTCACCCGAGGCGAGCAAGCCAGCGCACGAGGCGGCGCCGAGGCGGGCCACGCACGCCCACCGAGCGAGACAGCCCGGAGGTGCCTCCGGCTGGCGGAGACGGGGCGGCGGCGGGGCGGCGGCGACGGGCGCACACACCGCGCGGGAGAAGCCGGAGAACCCAGCCAACGAACGGGGCGTCCTCCTCCTCCTCCTCCTCCTCCTCCTCCTCCCCCTCCTCCTCCTCCTCCTCCTCCTCTCCTCCTCCTCCTCCTCCCTCCTCCTCTTGCTCCTCCTCCTCCTCCTCCTCCTCCTCTTGCTCCTCCTCCTCCTCCTCCTCCTCCTCCTCCTCCTCGTCCTCCTCCTCCTCCTCCCCCTCCTCCTGGAGACCCAGTCAGCGCACGAGGCGGCGACGAGGAGGTGACGGGCGCCCACCACGCGTGAAGCAGACACCCCGCCAAATGGCTCAGAAGACAACTCTGGAAGCTCAGTTCGAGCACCGTTTGGGGAATACCCGTGCTCGCCTCAGCTGCACGAAGCTTGCGGTGCTGGCCAAAGATTGGCCGTGAGAGGAGTTCCAGTAATTACTTGTCCTTAGGAACCCTCGGAAGCCCCGTATGAACAAACCACTGTCCAGGCAAGACTGGTATGGATGCCTGTTCTGCAATTCCTCTTGCCCACAGTCTGGGTCGGCCAAGGTATGACAAACCAGGCCATCATTCAAATGAACATGATCCTGGCGAAGGACCCAACCATATGCAATTGTGAAAGCCGCAAGTCAGGTAGGAGGAAGGACGGGGAGCTCCTTATGGGGTCACGAGACGTGCGAGGGTATGTCGACATGGGCGGGAGGGCGCGTGTGAACACCGCCGCCAAGGCCTTCGGCGGAGTTCCCTCGGGGCAGGCCACGACATGCGCGAGGGGCGTGACGAAATGGGTCGGGGGAGACGCATGTGATCACAGCCACTGGGACCTTCGGTGGAGCGCCTGGGACGAGTGTGGGAGCGCCTGGAAAGCGCCTGAAAGCGCAGGGAGCGCCTGGGAGCGCAGGGAGCGCCTGGGAGCGCCAGGGAGCGCCTGGGCGACTTTGGAAGCGCCTGCAGCGTCTGGGAGCGCCTGGAGCGGGTGGGAGCGCCTGGGAACGCCGGCGAACGCTTGCCTGGGAATGCTTGGGGGTGCCTGCGGACGCCTAGGAGCGCTTGGGGGCGCCTGGGAGCGCCAGGAACGCCTGGGGGCGCCCGGGAAGCGCTTGGGAGCGCCTGGGAGCGCTCGGGAGCGCCTGGGAGCGCCTGGGAGCGACTGAGAAGCTGGGAGCGCCTGGGAGCGCTTGGGAGCGGTTGGGGGCGCTTGGGAGCGCCTGGGAAAGCTTGGGAGCGCCTGGCGTTTGGGAGCGCTTTGGAGCGCCTGGGACCGCATGTGAGCGCCCAGGAGAACCTCGAGGGCGCCTGGGAAGCGCTTCGGACGCTTGGAAGCGCCTGGGAGCGCCTGGGAGCGCATGGGGGCGCCTGGAAGCGCCTGGAAGCGCTTGGGAAGCGCCTGGGCGCGCTTGGGATGCTTGGAAACGCCTGAAAAGGGCTGAAGCTTGGGAGCGCTTGGGAACTCCCAATGAGGCCACGAAACGATGTACTGGGTGGCGCGGGCGCATGTGATCACAGCCACTGGGGCCTTCCGCGGAGCACCGCATCGGGCCACGAAGCGCTTTCTGGGTGGCGCCGGTTTCTTGTGATCACAGCTACTGGGGCCTTCGGCGGAGCTCCCTATAGTGCCACGAAACGCTGCCCTGGGTGGCGCGGGACGCATGTGATCACCGCCACGGAAGCCTTCGGTGGAGCTCCCCATGAGGCCACAAAGCGCTGTATTCTCGAGCGCGGTGCGCATGTGATCACAGCCATTGAGGCATTCGGTGGAGCTCCTGATGGGGCCACGAAGCGCTGTACTGGGTGACGTGGAACGCATGTGATCACAGCAACAGGGGCGTTCGGCAGAGTTCCCTCTGGGGCCACGAAACGATGTACTGGGTGACACGGAATGCATGTGATCACAGCCACTTAGACCTTCGGTGGAGCTCACTGTGGGGCCACGAAACGCTGTACGGGGTGGCGCGGGACGCATGTGATCCCAGCCACTGGGGCCTTCGGTGGAGGTCCTTATGAGGCCACGAAGCGCTGTACTGGGCGGGGAGAGGATGGGGAGGAGGGGCGAGGAGGAGGAGGAGGCACGCGGGGCGCTGTCCCATCGAAACGAAAACCCAACACCACAGGACGGTGGGGGAACAACAGGTCCTGGCTGGGCTGAACTGCGCAGCAACTGGCTCTTGCCTTTTCCTTCTCCAGGACTACATATTGATGACACTCACTAGATGACCGTGCAAGGTCCCAAGGTCGACTGTGCGGCATCGGACGGCGTCGGACACGCAAGAACCATGGTTTCCCAGCTCGCTCTGCCGCTTGGCACGACGGAGACGTGTCCTGAAAGGAACAGATTTGGGGCCCTCGGGGCCTTTCCCAGAAACCAGCTGATCAGCCTGAATTGTTGTTCAGATAGACTGTTGGAACCAAGAAGGGCCCGAGACCCCAAAAGCGGAGAAAAAACATCAGGACCTGTTTCCCTCTGGACCCATTTGATTCACGGCGGCTGCCGCGCCCAATCCCTACCACTCTGCCAGACCCAGCCCCTGTGCACCTGTTCGGCAAACCACGCCGATGCACGCCCCGCTGGAGACGGTCGTGGAGGAGAACAGCGTGTTGTGCTGGCGACGGCGGGCAGTGGGAGGGGGAACAACTGCACACGCGGCTCCGGAGTCCAGGGAGCATTGCGAGAACATAAGAGACAAGAGAAGATTGCACACTCGGCAAAGTCAATTCGACATACAGTGGAGGCCAGTCCACGAGAAACCTTCCACAAAAAACCCTACCCTGAGACCCCAGGACGTCCATTGGTATTTGGTGTGGGAACGTCACGCTTTCCATCGCAAAACCATCGACACCCAAGAAACCCCGGGCACCCTGGAGGCAAGCAGGGTGTTTCCCGGCACGATCCCCCACTGTAAGCACTTGGACATCTCACATCCTCCCTAATCCCACCCGTGCTCCTTGCAGCCCGCTGTCTCATGAAAGTCGTAGGCTTCATCACTCTGTGGAGCAAGCGTGCCCCTCTACCCCATTCCCGTCGAAGCCCTGCCCTATCCTCATGGCCGGGAGTGGTGAAGTGTATCGCGCGCCCGTGCGACTGGTCTCGCCAGCGAAGCCCACCAGCCCTCTGGGCGGAGGTGGTTTAGGGCGTGTCATCTTCCATCGTCCCCTTCTCCTCCTTCAGAGGGTAGGGTACCACTGTTCCTTATCAAGATGCACTCGGGGACGCACTGACCTGGGTCAATGCAAACCCGGGTCAATCAGACTCTGCAGGATCCTGCAAGATCCTGCAAGATAATGCACCCAGACCCAGGTCAATGCGCCCCTGGCCCTACAGGATCCTGCAAGATACGGCGCCCTGGCTGACCCCCGTTTGCATTGACCCCTGTCTCAAGGCTCCCGACGCACCCCCTCCGCCACCCGACCGGCGACAGACCCCGGACAAGAAGCGCCCCCCCGCCACCGCTGCCAGAAAGAAGTTCAAATGCACATCGCGGAAAAATCTGGACCGTGCGCGGGCTCCCCGTGAGCACTCTGCACCGGCTTTTTGACAAGGGGCGGCGGGACTGCCGTCCTATTGTCCACCCTGTGCAGGCCTACCCTCCCTGTCAAAAACAGGGCTGGACCTCCACGTTGATTTCCGTGGTGTGTTCGTGGTGCTGCTCGTGTTGCCCCACCTGTCTTCCTGTACGCAGCCGAAGTCCAGCAAAACAGCGTCTTAGATAGGGAACCCACAAAGGACGTACGCGCCCAACTATGTACATGAGCACGGCTTCTCGATCCGCGAGACCGGCCGCGTTATACGAACATTTGCGCAATGCGTACTCTCGAAACCAGCGTGGATTCATGTACATGTACGTCCTTCTTTCGCTCCTGATTAGATCCAGCCCTGGTCCAACGCACCATGCGACACGTGCCCTGCGGCAAGATCCCTGGACCGAGCGCGGGCGTCCCGTGGGCACTTCGGGTTCGCGCGATCCAGAACACCAGATGCCCACCCGTCGGTCGGAAGAAGTGGGCAGAAACATGCTAGTAGGAGGGCGTTGGAAGTAGATTGGGCTTCCGCCCGCCCCCTGCAGAGGAAGGAAAAGGTGAGACCAATCGATCCTTGAAGTAGGAAGGCGCCTACAGTAGACCCTTGGGCGTGGCAGCGGCGGCGGCGGCGCCCTCCAGAGGCCCGCCCCGCGCAGCGCCGCCGGCCCTGCCAGCACGCGGCGCAGAGCACGCAGTGCGGCACAAAGCCGGATCGCGCGAGGGCGCCCTGCGATCACGTCGCGTCTGCATCCACGCAGGAGGGGCCTCGCACTGGCTGCTCGGTGCAGCCTCACGCCCCCTGACAAAGGAAAACGAAGCAGATGCACTCTGCGGCGAAATCTGCATCGCGGGCGCCCCACGATCACGCAGTGGTTTTTGAACAGGGGCGGCGGGGGTGGGGGCCCTCATAGTGTCTACTCTGTGCTTCCGACGGGACTCACGAACTCAGTGGGATCGGAACCCGGGCTCGGATGCTGCACATGTGTTGGGAGGGCGCTCGGGAGGGAGCGACACGGCTTGCGGCTTGGGGCGGCTTGATCGCTGCTCCTTACTAATGTGCCCGCCCCCTCCCCCACCCGACCGGCGACAAACCCGGGACTGTGACGGCGTCCCTCCACCGCCCCCTGGCAAACAAGGATGCCAAGCGCACTGTGCACCAACACCTGGGTCGTGCACGGACGACCCGCGATCCCTTTGCCTCGGTTGCTTGGCGGGGTCGGCGGGGGGGCCGGCACATTGCCCGCCGTGCGCGATGCACCCCCCCACACCGTCACCTTGGGAGAACAGTGCAAAGTCAACGTTGCACCAACAACACCCGGATCCCGTGCGGACGCCCCGCGACCACCCTTGCAAGCGTTCCCACCCGTCCCGTGGTGTTGGGTCCTCGCTTTGAAGAGACAGCGCCCCGCGTTCTCCTTCCTCCTCTCCTCCTCCTCCCTCTCCCCCCTCCTCTGATACCTGCCTCTGTAGCGGCAGGATCCGCATGCGTCCCCCGCCCATTTCGGTACACCCCTCCCTCATCCCACCCCTGCCTCTGCCCTCCGCTCTCACCCTCCCTCCTCCCTCCATCATCAGTATCATCATCTCCATCCTAGTGCCACCGCCCGCATGCGTCCGCCACACCACTGCCGGGACACCCCTCACACGTTTCGCGGCCCAATGGGGAGCTCCACCGAAGGTCCCAGTGGTACCGTCCGCATGCGTCCAGCCCCCCCCACCCAGTACAGCGCTTCGTGGCCCCATAGGGAACTCCTCCGAAGGTCCCAGTGCTACCGTCCGCATGCGTTCCCCCTACCCGGTACAATGCTCCGTGGCCCCATCGGGAGCTACGCCGAAGGCCCCAGTGCTACCGCCCGCATGCGTCCCCCCCACACAGTACAAGGTTTCGTGGCCCCAGAGGGACCTCCACCAAAGGTCCCAGCGCTACATCCCGCATGCGTCGCCCCCACCCAGTACAGCGTTTCGTGACCCCATAGGGAGCTCCACCGAATGCCCCAGTGGCACCGTCCGAATGCGTCCCCCCCCAACCCAGCACAGCGCTTCGTAGCGCCATAGGGAGCTCCACCGAAGGTTCCAGTGATACATCTCCGATCAGCCCCCACCCCAGTACAACGCTTCGTGGCTCCGTAGGTAACTCCACCGAAGGCCCCAGTGCTACCGTCCGCATGGTGGAGAGGAGGAGAGGAACGCAGGGCCCTGTCTTTTTTCAAAACGAGGACGCAACACTACAGGATGGCTGGGAATGATAATCCTGGCGAAAGGCCCAAGCATATGCAATTGTGAGTACCGCGTTGTGGGTACCGCTTTCGGTGGAGCTCCCTGTGGGGCCACGACCCTCGTGAGGGGTGTGCCGAAATGGGCGTAGGGGCGCATGCGGACTATGCCACTGGGGCCCTCGGTGGAGCTCGCTATAGGGTCACGATCCTTGTGAGGAGTGTGTCGACATGGGCGGGGGAACGCATGCGGACCATGCCACTGTGGCCTTCGGTGGAGCCCCGTATGGGGCAACGGTCCTCGTGAGGGGTGTACAAATGGCGGGGGGGCGCATGCGGGCCATGCCACTGGGGCCTTCGGTGGAGCCCTGTATGGGGCAACGATCCTTGTGAGGGCTGTGTGGGGGGGGGGACGCATGCGGACCATGCCACTGGGGCATTCGGTGAAGCCCCGTACGGGGCCACGATCCGTGTGAGGAATGTGTAGAAATGGGCGGGGAGACGTATGCGCACCCTGCCACAATGGCACTCGGACTCGTCGTAGGGAGCGCCCCCTCACTGTTTTGACCGTTGCACGTACAATTCGCATCACTTCTCGAGGGCCGGCTGTCGCTGCCGGTGGCTCGTCGTGGCCGAGGTGCCCGCATGGGGCATCCGATGTCTTGGACGATGGTATATATATATATATATATATATATATCTCTCTCTCTCTCTCCAGCCGACGTCGTGGCGGCAGTCCTCGTCCGACAGTCTCGGCAGGGCAGGGCCGTGGGCCCCCCGCGCAGACATGAGAAGGAGGAGGAGGAGGAGGAGGAGGAGGAGGAACAACAGTCGCATCGCAAGTCTGGCAAGGTCGTGGGGGTACGTGGGGTTAGCCTGCTGGCCTCGGCTGGCCACCCTGCAAGCTGGATAATAGTATGTCTGCCTTCTCGCGGAAGGCGCGGTGGCCGGTCGTGCGTCTGCATCCCTGCAGGCACTCGTCTGCCGTCACCGTGTCGTCAGCCTCGGCAAGGTTGCTCCAGGAGCGGGTGTCGTATGACAGCGTGGACAGCACCCAGGAGCCAGGAGAAAGAGCCTTCTCTTGCCTGTCAGGGTGTTTTTGCGTGTGAGTGTTTGGTTGCGCAGTGCCCCCCTGCCCACCCTTGCCTTGATGGTCCTCTTCTGCACCTCCGGGCACAGCATGGCTTTAGATGTGATTTGCAGCCCCTGGGGCTTTCTGCGAGTCGGCCAGCTCCACGGTCTGTTCGGAGTAAGCGCTGGGTATAATGGTGATGAGGTCCTTGGCCATGTGTTCCTTGGTGGTATTCGACTCTGCGTCGAACAGCAGGAGCAGAATCTTTCTTTTTGTTTTTGGTGTGTAATCGCATGCCGTAGGATCGTACTCTGGATTCGACTGTGTTGAAGAATGCGGCCGCCGTGGCCGTAGCCTGGCTAAGGGTCGTGGTGACGTACGCGGACAAGTCGTCTACGAACGAAACATCTGTTAAGGATTCGCCGCCGTCGTGTCCAGGGCTTGTCTCTGGGTCCTTTGCGAAGATTGGTTGCTGGATGTTGTCGTGGTTGCTGTTGTAGTGAACCTCCTGCTCGATCATGTCCTGGGCAATGGCACTAGAAATGCGCGCGAAGGCAAGGTTGAACACGAAATCTGACATTGGTTCCGCTTGTCGGGTGCTTGTTCGCGGCAATCCAGTTGAGTCCCCTCGTTGTCGGCCATTGGTCCGTGTGGGCGTCTCTAGGTAGGGTCATGGAGTGCTCATCGTCTGCGCGTGTGTCGATGCAGGTTGCGCTGTGCGTAGCGTCCTCAAGGAGGGGCTGTAGTGCCTCAGGTATGCCCGTCCTGTCTAGTAGCTCCCGAAGATCATTATCCTCCTCATCATCCACCTCATCATCCTCCTCCTCGTCATCAGTATCATCCTCATCCTCATACTCTTCAGCATCCTCATCGCCACCATCATCAGATTCATCATCTGCAGCAGCAGCACATCTCCATCTTCGCCATCATCAACATCATCATTACCACCACTACCATCATCAAGACCCTGATCTTCCTCGTCACCTACGTACTCCTCTTCGTTATCCTCGTGGATCGCTTCCTCGTCCTCATCCTCTTCACCATCATCGTTCTCGTGCTCCTCCTCCTTCTCCTCTCTTCCTTATCTGCTTCCTCCGTCTCCTATACTCATCCCCCTTATCAACCTCCGTTCCAGCCCCAATGAGCGTCCCCCACTAGGGAGCAGCCGCAAGCGGATATCATGTCTCCGCAGGTTCATCGTATACGAGAACGTCAACACACAGCACTCCAGCACTATCGCGAGGCGGAACACGTCACTACGCCATGCCCGCTGATGAGCATGGATGTGTTAAGCCAAAGTCAACATTCTTGTCGTCCCCCCTCCTCCTCCCCCCTCCTTTTCCCTCGTCCTCCGCGCTCCCCCACCCTCAGCCTCATCATCTCCCACCCTCAACCGCGCTCTCAATCTCATCGTCCTTCCTTTCTGTCCTCTTATTGTCTGGCTGGAGCCTTGTCTTGGATCACCGAGTCACCTCGTGCTGCGATGACGTTGGAGTCCTGACGAGGTGTCAAGGAAGCTGCGGGGGGAGAGAGCACGTGTAAGAGTGATGAAGCACAGGCTACACAACTGGGGCATGAACATACCCTGGTGATGGAGGAGAAAGCGAAAGAGACGGAGGAATAATATATGGTGGGCAAGAGCCAGAAGACGGACAACACAAGGGAGACAAGCAGCAGCGAGCGACAACACAGAGCTCCTTGAGCACTGCCTGCGACTCGCCCGTGAGCTGGGACTGCTCGACTTTCATCGAGATGGTCTTCTCCTCGGGCTTGTGGCGGTCCCCTCCTCCTTCCTCCTCCTCCTCCTCCTCCTCCTCCTCCTCCTCTCCTCCTCCTCCTCCTCCCCCTCCCCCTCCCCCTCCCCCTCCCCCTCCCCCTCCCCCTTCCCCCTCCTCCTCTCCTCCTCTCCTCCTCCTCCTCCTCCTCCTCCTCCTCCTCCTCCTCCTCCTCCTCCTCCTCCTCCTCCCCCATCCTCCCTCCAGCTGCGCACGCATTTTCGGCCGCAGGCCGACTGCGTCCCAATGACGCGCGCTCGCGGCCCACCGCGAAGGAGTCGAGGAGCAGGCGGCCTCCACTCACCTGGCATCCTGATTCCCCGAGGTCCTCGGAGGCTCTCGGGACAGCGCCGTCGAGCGTCCAAATCCAGGACCGCGCGCCCGCGGCCCCCCCCGCGGGGCGGGCGGCCAGCCTGGCGAGCTGGACGCCACCGGGGGGGCCCTCTCAGGGGAGGAGGCCGCCGAACCTTCCTGCATCCCGAGGCAGATCGTGAAGGAAAGGGGGAAACCTCCTCCTGATCCTCCTACTCCTCCTCATTCCCCTCCTCCTTCTCAGTCCTCCTCCTCCTCCTCCTCCTCCTCCTCCTCCTCCTCCTCTTCCTCCTCCTCCTCCTCCTCCCTCCTCCTCCTCATCCTCCTCCTCCTACTTCCTCCTCCTCCTCCCTCCTCCTTCTTCTCCTCCTCCTCCTCCTCCTCCTAGTCTTCCTCTCCTCCTAGTCTTCCTCCTCCTCCTAGTCTCCTCCTCCTCCTCCTTCTTCTCCTCCTCCTGTTCCTCCTCCTCCTCCTCCTCCTCCTCCTCCTCCTCCTCCTCCTCGTCTTCCTTTCCCTCCCCCGCGTCCTCCACCACTTCGAAGACGCAACAACCACGGCGAGGGCCGCCACGGACCCGCCCAGGGGGGGTCAACGGGGCGGGGCGGTGGGGTCCTTGACGACGCGGATGTCGGCCGGGACCTTGTCGCCAACCTGGCGCCCAGGGTGTCGTCGTCGCCGCCGTCGGCTTCGTCGCCGGCTTCTTAGGGGGCGACGAACGGGGGCGGCTGCCCCCCCTGGGCGACTGCAAGTTCACATCTTTGTTCGCCCGCGAGGTTTCGTCGCAGCCTCCGCGCCACCGCCGCCACCGCCTTCGTCTCATGGCGGGGGGGGGATCGGGGGATGGGGAGCGGGAGCTGCGACAGCGTGATCCTTCACGACGTGGAAGCTTGGAGGTCTAGACCCGCTGCCCAGGACCAGCTTTCATTCCGAGTCGTTCTATCGGGCGGTCAGCATCGACTCCGTACATCGAATCGGGTCGAAACGAACGTCAAATAGGGCCGCATCCGCACGGAGTCGGAATCGAATCGAAGCGGATCGGCCACGCCAGGATGCACACAGATCGGGCCGCACCGCATGGTCGGAACATCGGAATCGAATCGGATCGGGCGGGCCACACGCGATATCGAATCGGATCGACCAGATCGAAACACCCTGGAAGGGGAAGGGTGGGGAGGAACGGAGGAGGGGGAGGAGGGAAGCTGTGCACTGCAGGTGAGCCGCGGTGAGATCTGTTCAGACGGCGCGACGGGGGCCATTCCCGACCCGACTCCCCTGGCCGCCAGCCGACCCGGCTCCCCCGTCGGCCCCGCAAAACCCCACCAGCCCTCAAGGGCAAGGCGTGGGTGATTTAATTTGACGAGTTCGCTCTCAACATCCCTCTTCCCCTTCGGGGAGGAGCAATCGCTGCTCCTCATGAAGAAACACCCCCTCCCCCGCTCGACTGGCCGCCGGCCAGGAACCATGAGCACCCCCCACCCCCGCCATCCCTGCCAAAAGACAATACCACGGTCATGCAACAACGCTGGGCACCCTGCCAGAATAAACACGCGGCGCTCAGACGCACCCGCACGCGCCGCGGCATCCGAAGCGGGCGCCAGGTCGGACGGACAGGGGGAGTAGCCCAAGAAGCCCCCAAGAAGCTCCCAGCAGGCCTCCCCAAGAAATCCCACGACGTCTCCCAGACCCGCCTTGCCGACGACCCAGTTTCGCTCAGAGACTTCCCCAAGAAACATCAGAAGGCCTCCACCTTCTCCGATTCGTCCGCTTGTGCGACATCATGGGCCGGCGGAGTGAACGAAGCAATCCGCCGCCCCACCGGGCACGGCGCGCGAGATCCACAGCATGGTTTTCCAGGTGTGTGTTTTTATATATAAATATGTATATATGTATATATATATATATATATATATGCAAATCCTCTCACCAGCGCGCTTTTCCTGACTACCCCTGCCTCGGAGCCCTCACGCCCCAGAGCCCGCTCACCATGCTGGCCCGAAGGCCCCGGCTGCGCCCCGGGGCGCTTTCTGGCCACCCATCCCGTCCCAAACCGACCCCCCTTTCACGCGCTGGGTTCCCGGGCGCCGCCAAGCCCTCACATAGACCTCTCCAGGAGCCGCCTGGGCTGGTTTGGGGGACCTCCCCAGGCCCTCCTCGGCTGATCTGGACCGTCCTTCGGGCCACCTCTGGCTGTTCCGGATGCCTCTCCGCCTCTCTTCAAGCCTCATCGGCCCACACACCTCAACAAGCAACAAGCAACAAGCATCAGGAAGCACAAGGAGCTGTAACGACTCCGGCCGTCTCGGGTTTCTCCTTCGGCCTCTCTTGGAACTCCCGCGCCTCTCCGCGGGCTCTCGCGGACATCTTCGAGCCCGCGGGTGCTCTCTGAGGCCGTCCTGGCGGCCTCACGGCGCCCTCCTCGGCCGTCTGGGCCTCGTGGCGCCCTCTTCGCCCGCCTCGGGCACCTCCCGAGAGCCCCACGGGTGCCCTTCCAACAGCCAGTGGCCGACCTGAGCATTTGGTTGCCTCCCTCGCGTTGCCATCGTTCCCCCAAATCCTGTAAAAGCCCCTGTGGAGCATGATCCCAAGAGCCCCCCCCAAGAGCCCCCCTCTGAGCTCCCAAAGAGGTCCCAACACCAACGGAGCCTCCACAAACCCACATTCCCTCTCCAATGCGCCGCGGGAGGGTTCCCAGCCCCTCACCTCAAGAGAGCCCCAACTGACCTGAGTTTCCTCCAAAAGGCCTCAAAGATGCCTCCAGCACGCCACCGCGAGGCCTCCCGAGATTTTCAAGAGATCATCATCATGATGATGGTGCTGATGATGATGATGATGATGACGATGATGATGATGATGATGATGATGATGATGATGATGATGACGATGCTGCTGATGATGATGATGGTGATGGTGATGGTGATGGTGATGGTGATGGTGATTATGATGATAATGGTGATGATGATGAACATAATCATCATCATCACCAACATGACCATATCCATCATCATCAGCATCACTGTCAACATCATCAACATCATCACCATAGCAATCATCATCATCATCATCATCATCATCATCATCATCATCATCATCATCATCATCATCACCGTCATCAGCATCATCACTATCAGCATCAGCATCCTCCTAATCATCACCATCGTCAGCATAATTATCATCATCAGTATCATCATCATCATCATCATCAGCATCGTCATCATCAGCATGAGCATCAGCATCACCATCATCATCACCACCATCATCATCACCATCACCATCATCATCATCATCATCATCATCATCAGCATCATCATCATCATCATCATCATCATCATCAGCATCATCATCATCATCATCATCATCATCATCATCATCACCATCCCTCGCGAGTGCGCCCTCCGGTGCCCCCTCGAACGAGAGCCGCCGGGCATTCTGGACTTGCACGGTGGCGGAACTTGCCGCAGGCAGCTGGATAGACACCAGAGATGGCCCCGGAGTTCGGTTTTCGGCGGGCTCGCACCGAGGAAGAGAACAGGAAAGCGGAGGGCGTCAGGGCGTTGGCCGCACGTGTGGGGGGGGGGGGGGGGCCAGCCACCAGCGACGACGGCGGGAAGCGGAGCACGCACCGAAGGGCCAGCAGGGCAGGCGCGCGCACCCTGCGCAGAGCGACGGGCAAGTCTGCAAGAGCAGCGACCGCGAGGAGGCGGCAGCCGGCAGCAGCCGAGAGAGAGGACGACGGGCACGAGCCGGGGATGGGTCGAGTTCGTCGGGCGGGAGATCTCCTCCTCCTCCTCCTCCTTCCTCCCTCCTCCTCCTCCTCCTCCCTCCTCCTCCTCCCCCCCCCTCCTCCTCCTCCTCCTCCTCCCCTCCTCCTCCTCCTCCTCCTCCTCCTCCTCCTCCTCCTCCTCCTCCCCCTCCTGGGCAGGAGATCTGACGTCACAGAGGCCCGAGGCGAGCCCCACGGAGGCCACCCACACGCCGGAGGGAGGGCCATCTCACAAATGCCGCCCAGAACCCCGGAAAGGCATCCCACCCTCCTCCTCCTCCTCCTCCTCCTCCTCCTCCTCCTCCAGACACACATGACTTGCACAAAGAAGCCTCTCCTTCAACGTGCCATCGCCGAAGCGTTGGGCCTCCCGAAAGGCCTGGCCCCCTCACAGCAATGCGGCTGCACATGCGGGGCAAGGTTTGTGGGTGCCACGACAACAGAAGCCGAGAGGGAGCCCGACTCCAACCGTGGATACCAGCAGAACCGCAGAGCAGACAAAGAATGAGCACGCCACGGAGTCCACGATCCAAAGAAGCTGGGGCGGCGGTGTCTGCCCCCTCCGGGGCATTCCATTTACTACGGTGGGGTTCGACAATCAGCTACAGTCCATGGAGAGGCGCCCATGCATCAGGGGAAGCCTCCAGCGGCGGGGCCGAGATCGGCTGCACGCAGCATGTGTCGAAACCCCCCGCCCCGTTGCGTCCGACACGGGTACTCCTCGTCGTTTGGCTTTCGGGTCATGACTCGGGTCTCCAGCGGCCGTTCGGAACGAGCCAGTCATCCCAGGAAGGCTCTCGGCGAGGAGCAGCTGCTGGAAAACGCCCCGGGACTGGAAAGTCGCCGAAGGCAAATGGAAGCACTAGAAAACCTGTTCCAGACTTTCCCGATCTCCCTGCCGTCAGACCCAAGAGTGCACGCCCCCCCCCCCCTCCCTGGCCTTGACCTCGACGATGTCGCCAGGCACCAGGTCCTCGCCGGGCAAGGCAGCCCCAGCGGCGCCGATTCCCGTGAGGCGGGCCGATTCCCCCTCCCTCCCAGACCTCCCCTCGTCTCAGACGGAAGGTTTCTTGCCCTTAGCGGCCTCTCGGGGCCTTGGCCAAATCGCAGCGGCCGATCTGTCGCAACACTCTCGGCCTCGGGGCAACCAAGAAGCTGCTCGGGGTGAAACAAAAACCAGCCCCGGGGAGGCGGCCTGAGTTTCTGGCGGGAGGCACGAAATTCTCCTGGCGCAGGACCCACGCATATGCAGTTGTGAATGATACCAGACATTAACCCAATCATAATCTGTTTAATGATATAAGGCTATGGGGCTAAAGGGCTTCAGGGCTATAGGGTTAGAAGGCTATAAGGCTATAGGGCGATAGGGTTAGAGGGCTAGAGAGCCAGAGGGCTATAGGGCTATATAGGGTTATAGGGCTATATGGCTATACGGTTATCAGGGTATAAAGCCATGGAGCTATTAGGGCTATAGGGTTATAAAGCTATTGGGGCTATAGGATTATAGGGCTATAGGGTTATAAGGCTATGAGGCTCTACAGGGTTATAAGGCTATAAAGCTACCGGACGGGCACCCGGGCACCCCGGGGCACGCCCGGGCACCCGGGCACCCGGGCACCCGGGCACCCCTGGGCACCCGGGCACCCCCGGGCACCCGGGCACCCGGGCACCCGGGCACGCGGCGCAAATCGGCGGCAAACCTAACCTAACCATATGAATCCGCTAGGACCCTTACAGAGGCAAGCTCTGATTGGGGAATAACACAATTGTGAGACTCGTCTTCGGTAGCACTCCATTTGGGGCCACGTTAACGTGAAAGGGGTGTGCCGAAATGGGGCGGGGGGGCGCATGTAGACCCTGCCACTGGGGCCTTCGGTGTAGCTCCCAACGGGGCCACGAGACGTGTGAGGGATGTGCCGAGAGGAGGCGGGGGAGCGTATGTTATGTGGTCCATCCCATTGGGGCCTTCGGCGGAGCAACGAGGCCACGAAACGTGTGAATGGTGTGCCGAAACCGGGCGGGGGGACGCACGTGGACCAGCTCGCTGTGGTGCCACGAAGCGCGTGAGGGGTGTCCCGGACTTTGGGCGGGGGAGCGCGCGTGGACCCTCCCGCTCGTGCGTCCGGTGGAGCCCCTTGTGGGGCCACGGAACGCGTGAGGGGTGTAAGGAGATCGGGCGGGGGGACGCATGGCGGACCCTCCGACCCCAGACCCCCGACGTCAGATTTTTTCATTACGTCGACCCCTGGAGGTCTCGACCCCTTCCCCGGGACCGGTTTTGCATCCTGAGTCGTTTTTTGACGCTCCCGAGGGCCGGTAAGGGCCCCCAGAGGCCGAAAATTACGAAAAACCTCCCGTCGTGATTTTTTCATTACCCGAGGGGGTCTGGGACTGCAGCCTTCGGCGGAACTCCCTCCTCGTGGGGCCACGAAACGCGTGAGGGGTGTGCCAGATTGGGGCGGGGAGACGCAGGCGCGCCCTCCCGCTGGAGCCTCAAAGGTCTCGAATCCCCCCCCCCCCTGGTGGGGCAATGTTGCGTCCTGGATACGTTGCTGATGGCCCCAGGGCCCGAAGACGGCTGGGGCAGAAATCTGTCAAGAACCTTTGCTCTGGACAGCCTTTAAGTACGAAAGGCCCTTCAGCACCATCGCAAGTCCCTGACATCCACTGGCGTGTTTTTTTCATTCCGCTGCCCTGGATCCGTTTGTGATTGACCTGGGGCCCGCTCAATGGACCAAGAGACCGAAATCCAGGACACGGCGCCGGTTGGACAGAGCCATCTCTCGAGCAGTGGCGAAGCGTCCGTGAGTGTCTTCAGGCCCACCAGAGAATTGCCTAAGAACCTCTTGTGATCTTCACGACCTGTTCGTGGAGCATGTCTGGCTGAGACTGTCGAGTTTCAGCACATCGGGTCCATGCTCCAGGGCCATTGCATCTGTTTTTTCAACGTCTTGGAGTTCCACGAGCTCTTCGTGGCGGGCCTGTAGGAATGCCGGGGCGGTCGGTCCCTGCTCAAATCTCGTCGGAGCTCTGGCTTTAGGAGGGCCCCGAAGTGCGATCGCCGGTGGGAGCCCTGCGGCCCAGCTTCCACGTGGCCGCGCCGCGAGGTCGGCGAGCCGCCGCCGCCGCCTGCCGCTGTCGTCGTCGTCGTCGATCGTCGATCGCCGATCGTCGTCGCCGTCGCCGCCGCCGTCGTCGTCGGTGTCGTCGTCGTCGCCGCCGCCGCCTGTCGTCGTCGTCGGCCCCGAAGCACGACCGCCAGAACAGAGCCACGTCGTCGGAGGCCCGGCTCCGAGGGAGGCCCCGCGGGGCGCTCGCTGGTGGGAATCCCAAGGCTCAGCTGCCACGCAGCCGCGCCGCCCGCCTCGCAAAACCCCTTACGTCGATCGTCGATCGTCGATCGTCGATCGTCGATCGTGGCCGCCGTCGTCGTCGTCACCGCCGATCGCCGATCGCCGATCGTCGTCGTCGTCGTCGATCGTCGATCGTCGTCACCGTCGATCGCCGATCGCCGATCGTCCATCGTCGTCGTCGTCGTCGTCGTCGATCGTCGTAGTCGTCGTTCGTCGTTGTCGATCGTCGCCGATCGTCGTGATGTTCACAACGTCGTCGATGGTCGTCGTCATGAGTTTTTTCACGACGTCGACGCCCAGAATATGGACCCCTTTCCCCGGACCGGTTTCTCATCTCATCCTGAGCCGTCTTCTGACGGCCCCAAGGCCTGGCAAGAGCCCCAAGAGGCCGAAACCTGCGACAAACCTCCCGCCGAGATGTGTTCACTACGCGCAAGGGTCTGGGCTGGGCGGCCGCCAGAGGACAGAAACCGCTGGCTGAACAAGACCGCACCGTTGGAAATCTGTTAGGTTCTCATTCTGGGGACCTTCCTGGAGCCACACTCGCTCCACTCGTGCGTCGAAGCTGCGTCGAACGTCCGCCGACTCAAGACGGACCTGAGTCGAACCCGAGTCGAACCCGAGTCGAATATTCCATCGAACTAGAGTCGAGGTTGAGCCGAACTGGAGTCGAAGAGGAGGTCCGTTGGGCGTCCAGAGGGAGGTCCCCAAAACGAGCATTGAAGATCTGAGTCCCCCCCGGCCTTCTGCCCCGAAGGCCAGAGGCGGGAATCCCGGGAGGAGGAGGAGGAGGAGGAGGAGGAGGAGGAGGAGGAGGGGGGATGAGGAGGAGGATGGGGGGGGGATGAGGAGGGGAGGAGAAGGAGGAGGGGGGGGGGAGGAGGGTGGGGGATGAGGAGGAGGAGGGGGATGAGGAGGAGGAGGAGGAGGAGGAGGGGGGGGGGGGAGGAGGGAGGAGGAGGTCCTTCTGCCCCGTGAATCCCGACGGCCGCGGCCGGCGCAGAGGGAGGCGAGCGGAGGCGCTCGCCACGGGGGAAGCAGCTCCTGAGGGCCACGGGCCCCGAGCTGTTTCGCTGTCTTCGGCCCTCGGGGCCCTCCGCGGGCCCTGGGACCTGTCAGACGACGACTCGGGATGAAGAACCGGTCCTCCTCCTCCCCCTTTTTCCCCCCTCCCCTCCTCTTCCTCCTCCTCCTCCTCCTCCGCCTCCTCCTCCACCTCCTCCACATCCTCCCCCTCCTTCTCCTTCTCCTTCTCCCCCTCCACCTCCTCCACCTCCTCCTCCTCCTCTCTTTCCTCCTCCTCCTCCTCCCCCTCCTCCCCCTCATTCTCCTCCTCCTTCTCCCCCTCCTCCTCCTCCGCCTCCTCCTCCCCCTCCTTCTCCCCAGGAGGCCCCAGGGTCCAGGACCCGCTTCCCGCAGGACCCGCTTCCCCCCGTGTCACGGGGCGGCAGGCCGGGCGAAGGAAAGGGGAGGAGCCCGGGGCTCGCACGCCGCGTCAGCCTGGCCTCCTTCCGCATCGGAGCGACGATCGACGAAAACTACGACGACGACGACGACGACGACGACGACGCCGCCGCCGCCGACGACGACGACGACGACGACGACGATCGACGGCGACGATCGATCGACGATGATCGACGAACGACGATCGACGATCGACGATCGACGATCGACGATGACGACGACGACGACGACGACGACGACGACGACGACGACGACGACGACGACGACGACGACAGGCGGCGGCGGCGACGACGACGACACCGACGACGACGGCGGCGGCGACGGCGACGACGATCGGCGATCGACGATCGACGACGACGACGACAGCGGCAGGCGGCGGCGGCGGCTCGCCGACCTCGCGGCGCGGCCACGTGGAAGCTGGGCCGCAGGGCTCCCACCGGCGATCGCACTTCGGGGCCCTCCTAAAGCCAGAGCTCCGACGAGATTTGAGCAGGGACCGACCGTCCCGGCATTCCTACAAGCCTGCCACGAAAAGCTCTTGGAACTCAAAGACGTTAAACAAAACGCAAACACAATGGTCTTAGAGCACAAACCCGATGTGCTAGAACTAGACAGTCTCAGCCAGAAATGCTCTACGAACAGGTCGCGAAGATCGCAAGAAGGTCTTTGAACATTCTTTGGTGGGCCTATAGAAAATCCAGGACGCTTCGCCACTGCTCGAGATATGGCTCTGTCCAGTCGACGATGTGTCCTGGAAATCTCTGGTTCCATTGGGCGGGCCCCAGGTCAATCACAAACGGATCCAGGGTAGCGGAATGAAAAAAACACGCCAGTGGATGTCAAGGACTGGCGATGGTGCTGATGGGCCTGCCGTAATTACAGGCTGGCAAGAGCAATGTTCTCGCAGGGGACAAGACACGCTCGACCCACGCAGCTGGACGGCGGTGGCAGCAACGCCCTTCAGATGGCAGCTTGTCTGAATACATCCTCCTCTTCCTCCTGCTACTCATCTCCAAGGTACTTGCGATTACAGGAGCTGTCCTGCCTACGATGCTGATGCTACGCGCCCTATCGGTTTTGAACTCATGCACTTACCCCTGCTATACCCAGCGCGACCTCCAGTCATGACGCAATGAAAGACTGACGCGGCGTGAGCGGC